TTAAAATACTCGGCAAAAAACTTACTATGGAAAGAAAAGGATTTTTTGCTCGAACACTGTCTAGAGCATTTCCTCACCATTACTACAAACAATTTGAGGACAGGTTAAACGGCGCGAGTTTTTGGACCGACTCAATGTAATGGTAGCAGAAATCGTGCTTGAGCGCCGGTGGTGCGCGGCAGATACAGCATGCAGCCAACTCCAGATACGAACAGCAATAGTTTTGATTTTGCAGGCCGTTCTTGGTTTTACTATTCATTAAATATCATATGTCTTTTTCAGCAGTTAGCGATCGTACTCTTGACAAGTTCAATAGGGATTTTGTTTTAGAGAGTTTTTGAGCAATCTCGTGCAAGGCTCTGATCTTCTTTTGATTACCGTGCGCATAGCCTAATAATTCAGTCTTAGCTAAAGATTAATTGCTAGTGTGAATTTTTTGTAACGGAATGCTTACCTATTGCTTAAAGAAAAAAGGTACAGTATAAAAAGGCGCTAATTGCTAATTGAGCAATGGTGTGCAAACGCCAAGAGTAAAATTTGCTGTATATATTAGTGGGAGCAAAAATTCGTACAAAAATTGCATTGCAAAAATTTAAATTTTTCCAAAAATTAACTTCCTTCCTTTTTGGTGGATCTTCTTATAATCATTTATGTTTAAAACAGGAAACCAAGCTTTTCATAGCGGTACCTTTGCATGAATTAGTATGGAATTATTTGAGAGTCTGATGCAATTGAAAGAAAATACTTGATTAGATTTTAAGCAGGGTCATGAAAAATTCCGGTGAAAGAGAAACTTTGCATACTGCAGTGCCGCCTTTACCATGAGTTAGTATGATATCGAAGGCTAGAAGCAAATCAATAGAACTGCTTTGGTTCTGCAATTGAGCATGCTCAAAAAAAATCTAAAAACGTTACAGCGAAGACCGAAAAAGCCATAAGCATGGGTGTCAGAACCTCTTCTTTAAAGCTGGGCAGAATTTGTGCTGATCGAAAGCTGATTTTATTCCCGGGGAAAATGCAGCCACAAAATTTGAAAATTCCACGAAAATAGCTGCGCTTCTAACTTTCAAACTGTCTCAGATTAATCTATGGGAAAGGTGCCTTTGTAATGTGCAGAAATTTCTCTATCAAATAAAATTTTTTATAGTTGAATCTTGCTTGAAAAATGCCAAACTTGAATAATTTTCTACTGCTCTTAACTTCTAAAAATTCTTCTCATAAAAATTCACGCAGAGTTACCTTACTCCGCACGATTCTTCCAGGCAATACGCAGCACGGTATGGTCCTTTGGTTGCGAGGTCCTTCGATGCCAAACTTGAATAATTTTCTACAGCTGCTTTTAACTTCTAAAAATTCTTCTCATAAAAATTCACGCAGAGTTACCGCTATGAAGAGCTTGGTCCCCTCTCAAAAGAAGAAAGGGAGTTATGACTATTTTGAAAAACTGACGGCGGATCTTTGCACTTACCCAATAAAGATTGGGGTATGCAATCTCACTGTTTAGGTGATTTACCCTATTTTAAGGTGTATAAGCCGCACTTTTTATTTTCCCACGAGCTGCTCAGCCACTTCATTGTGTTTTGAGAAGCGATCCTTACTCCGCACGATTCTTTCAGGCAATACGCAGCACGGCATGGTCCTTTGGTTGCGAGGTCCTTCGATGTGTTCCGGCTGGTTGATGTAAGCTAGGACCACACCGCGGCTTATACACCTGAAAATAGGGTACTTGCATTACAATCAATACATCATCCCGTGTGTCCACGTATTTCAATGATAAAACGTTCGCAACTTTGTGCCACAATCTATAGCACAATTGACTTTTCGTTTAGCTATCAAAGTAGAAGCGCAAAAGCGCTTGAGGGCACACATAAAATATTACTGCATGTTCCTGACATATGACATCTTCTATTGTGTTGTTTTCAATCTACATTCGACTTGCGCCTCTGCTCTTTTCTTGGACAATCACAACAAGGCTAAAGCACACTAATTTTATAGGGTGGGCAAACTTTTACATTGCAGAACAATTTTTTATTCGGGAAGCTCTGGAAATCGTTACCTATATGATGATGTAATTCTACAGAACTTCAAATATTTCCTAGGGATCATTTGCGAATATATGTATGCTTGAAATGATTTCTGGAACTGACAGAGAAAAGTGACGTTGTTCTAACCTCATCACTTCTCCTTTCAGTTGACATAAGATAGCTGAAGTGTAACTAATATACGATAAATGTTCAAAGGCAATCTATCATCAAAATTTGACTTCTCGGATTTTTAAACCCATACAAAACTTCGGTTGCAAAACCGGCGCCTGTTGGGATCCCGTGTACATTTCGTTTATTGGGTACAAACGTATTGTAGTGAGATCCCTGGGTGGGCGAACCGCAAAAACGTGCTTCGCTTAACGCCGGCGTTGTATTCAAAGCCCAAATTTAACGATTCAAAAACGAGTAGCCGAAAAGATCTAGGTTTTTGGTTTCGTGGGGAGGGGAGGCAAATTTCGATTTACTGAACATTTCAGAGTAATTGTGGGAAGACACTATGCTTAGGCGGCCTTCCTCCAAGTGGTGGTTCGAATCGGCTACAACAGTGCGAGAATCTCAATTATTTTTCGGAGAGTGACAACTACAGTATAACTATTTTGCTAACTACGCACAATAAATCAATGTCGTACAGAAAGTTAGTCCTACATCTTACATTCGGAATATTCTGGGTTTTCGAAACCGAGTATCGTGCTCAGAGGGAGCGCCTATCTTATGGTAAGGCTGGAGCTCGATGCCAATACCAACAATTGAGTGGAGGACATTAGGTCGCCGAATTTGGAAGAGTCCCGCGCGGATTCCCTGCATGAACGCATGTCCGCGTATGTACAGGGGTGCGTATTTGTCGCAAATGACCGCGGGGACTGCCCTCTTTCGGCGACCTAATGTCCTCCACCCCCAACAATTATGGAAAGTTTATGCTAACACCATTCACCTCATTTATCAGAGGGCAGCATTTTTCGACTTCTAACTTGAATAAGTGAATAAGTGTTTGAAGACTCTTGGAACCAGCTATTTTTTTTACCGGAATGACTTTTTTAGCATTTAAAAGCAAAATGCAGTGATCATTACTTTTTTTGAATAAGGTGACAGATACTAAAAACGTTCTAAACGTTGAGACATAGCTGCGCGAAAAAATTTGAGGGGTCAAAGAACGCAGCATCAATTTAAAAAACAGATAGTTTCACAATTGCGTCCGGCCTTCATTGAGAGCTTTAGAGAAATCTTACGTCCAAAATCGTAAATTATAACGTTTCGTAGAGTGTATTTGGAATTGTATCTAACAATGAAATTAACTATCTATGTTGCGCTTAGTATGACATCGGCTGAATTTGTAATAGTTGTTCTATCATAAGGCAGGCCTTCACCCCTTTATCTTTGAGTAAACATGTTGCGAAGCCACCTCTTTCAAAGAGCAATGCTTCAGCACTCTTCAAGGTTTGAGATGCCACGCTGTTGGATATCTAGCAAAACGTATAATGCTTGAACCGCTACAACACATTAGAGATGTCCTTACTATACAAAAACTGTATTTTTCTTTACTTTGAATTAAATGAGGTTATCAATTTCGCGTTTAAATGGGGATGGCTGGCTGCATTCGCTTACTTAATTAGCGTTCTCCGACATGTACGATTCTACGGCATACCTAGAGTGTATTAGAATAAAAATAAAAATAAGAATAAAGGTCACAGTCGTATTGAGCATTAAAGCTAGTTCGGCTGCCGTTTTCTACGGTCTGATTTATGTTTGATCTTCCTTGCTTATCATCAGTGGTGCTCATCTTTTTGAAAAATTGTAGATTATAGTCGTAGCCAACTGTATCGCGGCTAGTTTGACTGGCTAAATTTTCCTTTCAGACGTGAAATTATTGTTCGACAGTTATAAGAATGTAAAAAATGAGGGCAACAAGAAAATAGCTCATTTTTGCATTAACTGGATTGTAGCGCAAGTAACGCAATCAATATTTTTTCTACAGAAAATCTATCTTTTGGGATTCGACTGATGAGGCAATGACTATTGTTTTTACTTCATTGTAAAAGTCTGAGTGTAGTGGTTTTTCAAAAATTTTGTTATGCGCTTAATTATCGTCTGTAATTCTCTGCAGGTTTCTGTGCATACCGATTTCAAACTCGTATCAATCAGCATCCTAACTAAATAAGGCGTCAAAACTCGTGCCAAATGTAATAAAAGCAAGCGCGTCGATCGCTTTGGCCTATTTGCAGTTCGTGTTACGACGGCTTCACGATAACATATGTATTTCCGCTATCAAAATTCATAACTGAAAAAACCTTGAGAAACCTTGGCCTGTTCGAGTATTTATTTTGGTTCCAATCTTAAGTCTACCTCTTGTCCTTTCAACCTCAGCAAATCTTGTATCTTCTAATTAGGAGTGCAAGTGATTTGAAAACCGTGCAGATTTTCTTTTGTCGAAGTGATCTACTTTGCAATTGACGTAATTGGACTTTTGTGACACGGCTTATTCTCCATTTACTGCAAGGTAGTACAAGGCCTGTAACCAATGCACTTTCTAAATTGTGTTCTCTCTGCCCGCTTCAGTTCCTAACATTCCTCTCAAACTTGTGACAGTAGCAGTTTTCCACATTTTCCAGAATTGCAAATTTGCGCAAAATTATTTGACTTGGTGGTGAAAACATTGCTATAGAAGATTCTAGATGATATATTGAATTTCAAAATGGTGGCTAGTTGCAATGAGACCTCCTCTTACTACAACTGCAAATTTGTCACCTGATGTTACAGGAAAGGTCCTTATTTTCAACTCGACCGAAAAAGAGGTGCAGGTCTTTTGAGAAACAAAATAATTGTGTGAGAAGATTCAAATCCAAAAGTTCTATATGATTGATTTTTGAAGCAAGGGTTTATTTTTGCAGTCAACAGATTACTGTTCAACACAGGTTTTAAGCACTATCTCCAGTTGCCATAGTGATGCCTGATTGATGTGTTATTTACAACCATTGTCGCTAGCTCTCATCGGGATACAAGTGCCAGGTTTTCCTGAAACAAATTTTTGTTTGAAGGATTTTCTAACGTCTTGAGATTAAGAGAATGTGTATAAGAAGAACAGGAAAAATTATCAGCAAGAATAAGAGAATGTGTATTAGAAGAACAGGAAAAATAACGTACTGTATTCGCGTTAGTTAGCAAGAACAAAGACGACGGTTCGCATGCACCTTCAATCGCTGAAGCCAATTTGTACGCCTAAGCCATACGTGCGCTAGGGTGACGCGAATCATGGCGTGGCGTTGCGCTGATGGAAAGTACGCGACCAACACAAGGTATGGTTTTTTTATAAGTTTCGAACATACTCTTTGGCTTCCTCTTTGCTCAATGGTCAGATATCGAAGTGGCTAATCCAGACAAGCTGCATACCTTTAGATGCAGCATGAAGCGATGACTCTAAATCTGTCTCCTTTATCTGCTTATCGCTTTTCTGGACGAAGCTATAAGCCATTAAAAGTTAATATTTTGCTAAGAAATTATGCGTGAAAGTGAACATTTGGCCATATACAGCCACGTTCGGCTTGATACTGGGCCAAAACGTGCAGCCAACTTACTTCAAACCCTCAAAGCCTAAAGCTGAGCTGAAATTGCAGCAATGTGCTCAATTTCACAGTTTTTGTTTACAATTTTTCCACAATAAAACTGCTTGTAGCTTCGTACACAGAAGCGATAAGCAGATAAGGAAGACAGATTCGAAGTCAGCGCTTCATACTGCATCGAATGGTATACAGCTTGTTTGGTTTGGCCACTTCGACTTCTGACCATTCCCTTGTCAGTACACTGAGTCTGTATTGCTGTTTGCCCTTAGTTAGAAGTGCAAGGGATATGCGATACTGCAAGTTGTTTTTGAGGGAGGCTAGCCTTGGGAGAATGTGTACCGGGCAATACAAAGCAATAAAAATTTCATCTATCGAACGAATTGTGAAATCTTTGCTTGTTTTATACATGACGAGATATTCAGTCTTTGCATTGCATATCTTGAGTAACACTATTTCAATTCAGTATTTCTCATAGATTCAGCCGGAGTATCAAAGTTCAAGTTTTGCGCTAAGGGCTTAATATCCCTTACATGCAAATCACAACTATTCATTTTTACCAATTTTTATACCTTGTGTTGAAAAGCACAAACTCTGTTATTCATGAACCGGAACAACATCAGTGCTACTGCACTGATGCCGAAAAGGGCACGTTTTGGAAATTCGACTTTTTACTACGGATATTCGATGTCGTAGACTACATCTTCCTTGGAGGCAAATATAACGGACGCATTAATTACGCACATGGTAGCTTCCAGCGATAACATAGTGAAAAGGATACGTTCAAAGGAACGATAACAAAGAACGTCACAGAACCCACCGAAAAAATTTAGCTAATGCGAACACATTCTTCGAAAAGTGGGTGCATTTAATCATGCAACTAGAGGCCGCTCAATTCAGATCGAGTATGGATGCTGCGCCAATGTCATTTGCCGATACGGTGCAGTGGGATCATACCTACAGCAAACCTGCAAAACAACAGCACACACGTATTTTTTCGATTACGCATCCATCTGCATCTGCGAGCCAAGAGGACGACGACAAGGAGAGAAGTGGAAGCTTTGTGGGCATTGTCAGCAAATCAAAGAATGTTGGAAAATGCGACCGGTGATCATCAATACGGAATTGGCGGGAAAAGAGGAACCTCTCAGCAGGGCATAAAAGGGGAAGAGAGAGGGGAGTTGCAATCAGAAGAGGCTCGCGGGAGTCGAAAACTGGTCAGGAGAGAGCCAGACCTCCCACTGAAAAACCAACCGAGAATTGATCCAAACGTGACCGTGTAAAGCTCCGCCGGAGAGACAAATCGAGATATTTTTTTCCGTTTTCGTTCTTTCTTGTTGTTTTCGTTCGTTGTTGGCCTTGAGGCCGTTGTTACTGTTTGTTTTGCATACGGATAAATTTTCTTGTTTTCAATCTGTTCGTGTGCCCAGTTATCGAGGTCGAAACCTTAAAATACCACTAGACACTAACCCGCAGTTACAAGAAGCTTTTTACGCTTTAAAGACGTAGAATCGCCTAAAGACTACTGTATACGGATTACTTGGAGACTGAGGGCCGACGATATCTCGAGGTTCACGCTCTACGCTCTAACGCAGACAATAAATTTAGTCGATATCGAGAATTGCATTGCGGCGGTCTTGAAAGACCTGCTGGCGTTAACAAAATATACTGATCAGCGGCTTCCATCGAGTAAAGCAGGACGTTGACCACCATCCGAGACGCACAGGGTTATCTTTAGACTAAATTGAATACATTACTCAATGATAACGCGATTACTATGAAAGACTAATGACTAGTTTTCGCACCCGCCATCGCAATAATCGCCAAAACTTGGACTGCTCAATTGTGGAAGCAGAATGCGACACTAAAAAAGTGTTCAGCGGTAAAGCTAGAGACCGGTGTATCTAAATTGTGGAAGACGCTGCCGGTCCAGTCCGGGCCAGTTGTTTACTGGAGAATGGTAGATGCTGTTTTGGTCCCAGCATAATACTGCATTGCGAAACCAGCTCCCTACCGTGTTATGAATCACTTACCTGTAACTCCTCCACTTCGATCTACCGCATACTCGTGATCCCAAGATTAGAATGATTCGCCAGTTTTTTTGAATATGGGAAAATGCTTGGTCAAAACATGATAAACTCTCGCTATAGAAATACCTGAGCAAATCAATCATGACTTATGATAACGGGCTAACGGGCTTTACGCGTGTGTGTGTGTGTGTGTGTATGTGTGTATGTATATGTGTGTGTGTGTGTGTGTGTGTGTGTGTGTGGTGTGTGTGTGTGTGTGGTGTGTGTGTGTTTGTGTGTCTGTCTGTCTGTAACGAAATTCACAGAACGAGTCGCAGACAAGGTTTCGAGCCGCAACTTTTTGCACAGCACGCACTGCCACGATCCAGATTTGCCATGCCAAAGCACGAAGATTCGTTGAGTAGGTCCCTCAAAAATCGCACCCCAAACGGATCCATAACGTCTGACGCGCAATATTGGGTCCCTATTACCACTTATTGTATAGTCGTGATTATGTTTGGCACGTGAATGTGCAAGCCATGATCTTTAGCCAAGAACAGTGATGAAGTTTATTGCTCCATGAAAACGGCGTTAAAACGAATTATCTGCGTAAGTGGTCAATTTGCCAGGGTTTTACCTGAGCATTTGAGAAGATTTTTGCACAGGGATGTAGCTCACCGTGCATATTATCCTTATGATGACCACCAAGCTAAGGAATAATTCAAAAATGTTCTAATTCTGCATTTGTTCTTCATCTTTAAAGGTTTCATACAAGCAAAATATCGATCTCGTACGAAAAAGCTTTCTGAATGAATAGTTGTTTACAGTTCATCCGTGAAGGCAGGCATTGCGCGGTATGTTTCAGTGCTATGCTATGCGGAAATGAGAGTTTATGGCATATAGACAGAAGAGCGGGTAGAGGACTATATGTCGCCGAAAGTGGGAGGGTCCCGCGCGAACAATGCAGCAAATGCTGCATTTATTAGAAGGTGTATTTGTCGCAGATGTCCAGCGGGACCTCCCATTTTCGGCGACATATAGTCCCCTACTCTAGATGAGCAAATGCGAGCCTCTGCGAAGCAGAGGTGAAGCACTGGTAAATTAATAAAAGGATCAAGTGAGTCGCCGCGGAAGTAGTTTATGACCTCCGCCGAGTTCGAAAACATGAGTGTGCAAAGTTTTAGCTTATTTTACTTACAAGGAAAGGATACTAACTTAGGGCCGCATGCACTAACATTTCCGCTAGGAAGGGGGTCGCAGCTTCAGAAGAAAGCTTCATATCCTGAAGCTCCGGATATCTGGATTTCACGCTGTGCACCTGTCCGTAAGTACTCCCACCATCCTTCGCTATGAACATATTGAGCAGAAGCGAGAAGCTGTACAAGCCGCATTTCCCAGCTTTTTGTAGGATCCCCTGATGGTCCCTGGGGGACGAACATCTATTCTTCAAAGTCATTTTTCTTTCTCCGAAATTAACGAAAACCTTCCAAAGTTATACTGAACATCTAAGACAAGGGTGCTAAGGGTGCATGTTGTTGATGAGAACAAATGAATTTTTGAAAAATCGAATTTTTCGGTATACCCCAAATTTCGACCTGTGGACCATCGAAAATTTCATGACTTCAAAACATCATTTGTTCTCATCAGCAACATGCTTAGTAATGTTGTGTTAGATGTTCAGTACAACTTTGGAAGATTTTCGTTAACTTCAGAGAAAGAAAAGTGAATTTAAAGAAAAGCGCCGGGGATCATCAGGGATCATACAAAAGCTGGAAAATGCGGTTTGTACAGCTTCTCGCTCCTGTTCAACATGTTCAAAGTGAAGGATAGTAGGAATACTTACGGATGGTACACAACGTGAAATTTCGACATATGAAGCTTTCTTTTAAGCTGCGATCCCCTCCCCGCGGCCATGTCAGTGCATGCGGCCCTAAGATTCGACATTTGAGATAAAACACATATACAGGGTGTCCCAAAAAAATGTTTCGAACGTTTTATCGTTAATATCTCTCTTCCCAAGAAGTCTTTTGCCTTGCTTCAGGGACCTTTTTGTAGAGCTGGCTTCGACTTAGATTTGCATTATAGAAAGAATCACCCATCTCTCTTCATTACTGTAGGATTACGGTAGAAACTTCAAGGAGGGTTTTAAGCAATGAAAGGCCATATTTTGCCCCAGAAAGGAAACAAAACAGCCTTAAAACTTTTACACTAGGCTAATTAGAGTTGCTGATTATAACTGTAAAGTTCCCAACTTATTATGATGCTTCATTGAAGAGTTATGCCAGGTAAGAGGTAGCGGCCATTTTTTCAATGTTCCTAAAAAGTGCGATTACACCGTTTAGAAAACTTCGTAACCTTGTGAACAGTTAAGTATTGAACTCAGCGTCCACAAAAACCCTATTACACAAGTTTTCACAATTATTTGAAAAATTTTGAAACGGCAGCTTTT